GGACATGGCTAGATCGACTCGGCTGTTGATCCTGATCAAGAATATATATACTTTATATAGTCGGAGGTGCCTCCTTTACTGCGTTGCAAACTTCTGACTGAAATTATAATACCCTGCAAGGGTATAAAAACGGAACATCCCTCTCCCATAGCTTCCCCCTCGATAATGGTATCCCACAAGGTTCCCCTATCTCAGTCATCCTCTTCCTAATAGCCTACAATTCCCTAACCGACATTATCTCCCTTTCAAAACAAATCAAGTTCACTGCCTACGCCGACGACTTCCATCTTATTATACAACATAACCGGAACAAAAACACCCAAATCAATCTTTCAACCCTATTCCAACATATCCAAGAATGGTGCTCATCCTCTGGATCCTCCTTCTCTCTAGAAAATGTCAAGTCCTACATATATGCCGAAAAAGAAACTGCACAGCAAAAATAGTCACTGACTCAATTAACATCCCTACCACCGACTCCATAAAAATCCTTGGCCTGACAATCAACAACCGGTACAACTGGCATTCTCACATAAACAACCTAAAACATCCCTCTCCCGTCCCCTTAACATCATCAAAACCGGACTCCTACCCTATTACTCTTCTGTCCTCACAAGCGAAGCTATAGCCATACTAGAAGCGGTACAATTCTGCAAGAAAATTCAAGGAAGTTCGCTATAACATATGCTCTGATTCCCTATCTTCCTTAAGAGCCATAACCAACTCCAACAACCACTCACACACTACTACCCCAGCACAATCAGAAACATAATAACCAAACCCTTCCCCAAAATTATTCTTATCTGGATCCTAAGCCACATAGGCATAAAAGGGAGAGAGAGAGCGGACAGAACAGCCAAGGAAGCTTACAATTATCCACTCATTCTTACCCAAAACTTCAACTCCAAAGATATCACACAACACCTCAAAAATTAATACAGTCACATAGAAAAAGATCTGATAATCAATAGACTACGTCTAGGCCACACGCAAATCACAAACGCCTACTATATTAATAGAACAATACAAAACACTTGCCCTTTATGCAATAATGCCACAATAGATATAAAACACATATTAATCGACTGCACTGCACTTTCCCAACACAGAACCTCATCCTTCTCCCACGAAAACCCAACCGAACTCCTCGTTAACCCAACAACAGAAAATTCAATGAAAATCCTCTCCTTCCTCCATAAAGCCAAGCTCACCCACAAAATCTAGCCTTTAAGTCCTTTGTATAATACTAAAATCTGTATACATTTAATCGAGCGGTAGGCCACAGCAGCCAATGCTCAATATCCTATGTTAGCCTTTAGTTTACAACCAACCGCTAGCTTTATATAAATAAATAAATAAATAAATTAGGGTCTACAATTCGAGTAGAGAACCAAAGTCTTCGTAAAAGGCTCCGTAAACTGGAGAACGAAAATCAGGTGCTACGCAATAAACTGGAGGAATTTAAGAAGTTGGAAATGTCTCTAGCCCAAATTTTTACAGAGACCCAAATCAAAATATTTAAGACTGGAGGAAAAAGGGCCAAATTCAATTCGACGGACATTTCTGCTGCGATCTGTCTGCATACAGCAGGGCCCCGTGCATATAACCATCTGTACAGGAAAGGATTTCCTTTGCCGAGTCGGACCACGTTTTATAGGTGACTAGCAGACGTGCCAATTATGATTGAAAGTTGATGAATGATGTTGCCAGCGGGTTCGAATATGACAGCACAGCTGATGTTGTTTATCAGCCAAGCAACTACGTCCAATTAGCCATGATTAGTGGGCTGAAAAAGTCCTGGAAGCAGCCAGTCTTTTTCGATTTTGACACCCAAATGGACGTGCATCACCTTTTCAACATTATTAATAAGCTCTACAAAAGGGGTCATTCCGTAGTAGTTATTGTCTCTAATTTGGGCCGGGAAATTTAAAGTTATGACGACAGCTTGGCATATCAGAGAGTAAGTAATAATACAAGTATAAACAAAAAAAAATTAAAAATAATTTTTTTGTTAAAGCAAAAACCTGGTTTAGCCATCCAGACGATGCTAGCCTAAATATATATGTATTTGCGGATACACCACACCTAATCAAGTTGATCCGTACCCATTACATCGACTCTGGGTTGGTCGTCAAAGGAAACAAATTGACCAAGGCGACGGTCCAAAAAGCAATTGCCCACTGCGCAAAGTCTGACGTTTCAATTATCTTCAAAATCACAGTCAGTCACCTGAACGTAAACTCCCTCGGAGAACAAAAGGTTAAGTTGGCAACTCAATTGTTTTCCAATACAACACCAAGTTCTATAAGGGGATGCTACGCGTTAGGATATGATGTAGGCAACGTATGTGAAGCCGCGGACCTTTTAAAGTTGTAAATAACTGGTTCGATGTTTTTAGCTCCAAATTATCTACATCAAGCTCCATCGAAACAACACAGCCGTATGGAAAACAAACAGATATACAAAGCTAAAGTGGCTAAAATGGCTAAATGGCTAAAATGTCTAAAATAATGAGCGCAAACATAGTTGGCAAAGCCCATAGACTGGCATTTCAAAAGAGAATTTTAGTCAAAAACGTTTCCCTTGAATATCTACTTGGATATTTGTCTGCAAAGTACGAAATGGATTATAATAATAAATATTAGCTTAACTATTAAAAAATTCTTTTTTAAGACAAGAATATACTTTGGGATAAAGCATTTAAACAAAAGACTCGCCACACAAAAACAAAAACAACAGCTCATTTCCAACTGAAAATTGTAAAAATTAAATTATAAAAAAAAATCTACTCTTTTTATTACAACAGAAAAGTTAAAGCCCCACACATCATCTAAGGGTTAATCAACACATTCTATTGTTGTCCCGCTCGCTTTTACTAGGTTGAGCCCCTCTCACTCGCACTCCTTGTTATGATTAAAGAGGTATCTTTTATAATAGTATCATGTGCCTACCTAAGGGCCAACATACAGTGCCTACAGTAAACGTCGTTCAATTAATGTTTTTAATATATATTCTTTTTTTTAACTACGACAAACCCTTTGGCCAAATCTTTACACCGGGCCTAGTGTGACCGGATTCGTTTCCAGTTCAATCTCATTCGAGTCTGTAGATCAAACTGACAAACTAGATAAATTGCTCATCCCATAGAGGACGATTAAAAATCAAATTATCCCGTTTTGAGAGATCTCAATTCGCATCTTCACCGCCGTTTACCATTGCTACTATTCCACGGCCAACTAGCGAGAATTCCGTGTATACTATTTCAGACACTTCTTCGAGACTCACTCGTTCCACTGTTGCCATAAGGAATTTAGAGATTTCATCTATTCAAGTCGGGGCTTGGGAATGATTCTTGGTGTATTTGGGATATTTCGATATAGGCGCAATCTATACTCAACAAGGTCGAAATTTCAACCTGAAGCGAGTTATACCCGTTTCTGACAGAGCGCCATTCTACGCTGGGCGCCATCGTCGTTGTTATAGTGACGGATATGTTGCAACCCGAGTGATTTCTCGCACCCGAGTTCCCGAGCCACAGTCACTGCTAACCTAGCTAAGGGACTGCTTATCAGGGTTGCCCCTAACCCCTTCAGCCCTCTCGCACTATTAAGCTTAGCATATCGGTCGGGAGAGCGACTATTTTGTTTAAGCGTTGTGAGTACTATTTATTCTGCTGAATAAAACTGACACGCCTTGAAAAAAAAAACCGTTTGATATCAAAAGAGTCTGTATCAAACGGGAAAGGAGGTACTGTGGTAAAACTAGACTTAATATGCCAAACCTTACAGTGAGCCAATTAACTATTTTAGATATAAACTTTTCTTTTTTTTACGGGCAAGGAATGCAGTCGTAAAACGTACGGCACGTACGCGTTCTTGATAGACGAATTAGAAGGAATAATAATAATAGAATAGAATAATAGGATAATACAACGAGAAAATCAGGATACGTAACAAGCTAATTCTACAAGAAATATAGTTTTTAATGTCGAAAGGCTTTTGTTTTCTATATTATCCAAAAAGCGGTTGTAATCGGAACATAAATAAAACCCTAAAGGGTTGGTGTCGTCATAGCAGTTGTCTCCAAACTCACGTTAGAATTAAAGCCTTTCGAGGAATGCAACGATGGTGTACAATAGGTTTACGATAGGGACCGTTTGTTAGTCCTAGGAGATTTTAATATCCCTGGGTTTTCTTAATATCCCCGGCTCACTGCACCACCCTTATGGTCAAATATATATATTTTTTTAATAAAAAGGTATTACAAATAATGTTGATTGTATTGTCAGCACTCACTCTTGTCACTCTTGTATTTTCTTCGATTTTTGACACAGTCTTTTGTGTCTGCTATTCAGAATTCCTTATAAGACTATAAAGTATTATTAAACTGAAATAGAGGTATCAATGTGTTGTTGTTATAATTTTTTTTTTAAGTGATAATTAGGAACTATACAGGTTGGAGTCCAATGTTCAAAATAATTCAGTTATAAATAAGGAAACTGATAAATTGATTGAAATCTTGCATACATTTTCGACTCATCATCAAGGCCATCCAGTCTATATATTACCCTTGCAGGCTATTATAATTTGAGTCAGAAGTTTGCAACGCGTTGAAGGAGTCATCTCCGACCATATAAAGTACATATATTCTTGATCTGCATCTACAGCAGAGTCGATATAACCGTGTCCGCCTGTCCGTCTTTCCATTTCTACGCAAAGTAGTCTCTCACTTTGGAGCTGTCTGAATTTATATTAATCTAGAATTTGGATTTTCATTTTTTGAAAATTGACATATGTACACACGATTGTTAAACATAGAGGTGAGATATAAACTTCGGCGTTGCGTTAATCTTTCTTTCTTGCATAGTTTTAAGCGTTTTGATGTGTCTTGAACAAGACCAACCAGAATTGACATTTTTTATTATTTACCTGATCCTTATCACTTTTCTTTACAAATTTCTCAAATTTAGTTCACTCTGCAAAATTCAAAATTCGGTTATAATTTCAGTTAATTCTTTAATGTATAAAATGTTTAATATAAATATACAAATGTAGGGCCAATATGCTTCACGAACATTCTTCTTGACTTTTTCGAACACAACGAGCAACTTTACGTTTAAAGTCGGTGTACGATTCTCTCCATTCCTTGGCGGCATCTACATTTGCTGGAGACTCATCATTAGGGTCAGCCAACATAGATATCACCGATATCAAAATAGTTTCCACTGTATGCACAGGTAGCCAGCGCTCCGATGCTTTTTCATAGCCCCACTTATCATCTCCGGGCTCATGCAGAATAGAAATACAGACATCTCCGTTTTTTTCTATATTTGGGTGCCAAATTTCTGTGACGAACTTCATCCTTGGAGGGCGCAACGGATATTCTTTAGGAAAGTAAAGATGGGCCTTAAAAAATCCGCCTTCGCTGTAGGTAAAAAACAATGGATTATTAGTTAAGGTACTGTAATCAAAATAATGCAATAATAATAACTGCAATATTTAAAAAAATGTATTTTACAATTATAAATGATAAATTTTTAAATTATGTAAACCAAATTGAACTTAATTTTTTAGATCTTCATTGTGTCAATCCAGTTTTTCGACTAGTCCCGACGAAATTACTGGCTGTGTGCTAAGGTACTGTGCCGACGCCCTGACCTATCCCCTTTTGAAATTGTTTCCCTCATCCTTAGAAACCTCCCAATTTCCCCATATTTGGAAGAAATCGTTTATTGTCTACAAAAAACGTAGGAAATCGGATGCGAACAATTATAGAGGAAAATCGGAAATAGAGTTATCGGTTACCTCAAACTTTTCGAAAACTTTCTTACTCTTCATTTGCATCGCCTTTTTCGGTCAGTTATTTTTCCATGTCAACATGGTTTTATTAAGCGAAGATCAACAACAACAAATCTATTAGAGCTCTATTCCTATATTATAAAAGGCTTCCATTAACATTTTTATGCAGATGTAATCCATACTGATTTTACTACTACTTTGACTTTGTTAACCATTCTCTCCTCGTAAGAAAACTCGATTTAATGGGTTTTCTAAGTGATCTTAATTGGATCTTATGATATCTGAATGGCAGGACGAAAACGGTTCTCTTTAAGAATAATTTATCTAATGTTCTAAGGGTTACTTCTAGCGTCCAGCAAGTAAGCCTTTTGGGACTCTTTTTGTTTACAGTTGTATAAATGACCTGCCCAAAGTCTTGACTGACGTCAAACTTTGCGTGCAATACAAGGACGTCGCCTGCCAGTCGGATTTACAAACAGATATTAATTATTTTCAAACATGGTGCCGTGTAAACTTATTAAATTAAAACGGCTCTAAACGAAAGCTAATGACATTCTCACGTGTCGTTCCTAAGCTTACTAATTACACAGTAAACTGCTGCTCTTTGGAAAGAATTAATTTAGTTGATGATTTGTGCGTCCGTTTGGACCCAAAACTTTATTGATCATATTTCGTCTATGGTGAATAGAGGTAGGGGTGTGCTTGGATTTATTTAACGGTGGTAAAGGAATTTAATGACCCCTAAATCCTTATATACCTATTTAGTTCGTCCTATCTTACAATATGGATGCTGCGTTTGGAGTCCTCAGTACTGCGTCCATAGTGAACGCATTGAGTCGGTTCAAAAGAACTTTTTACTTTTCGCTCTACGCGGTGTAAATTGGGATGTAAACCAAAGATTACCATCTTACACTAATAGACTCCTCCTACTTAACTTACCATCCTTAACCAACCGTAGAACTATGCTTGTCAGTACCTTCATCCATAATCACATTCATGGTGACGTGGAAAGTGCTGAATTGTTGAGTCAGCTCAATTTCCATGAACCAAGTAGAAATACTATATCCTATATTCATTTATTGTTGCACCACTGTAGAACCGCTTTTGAATTGCATGAATCTTTTAGAGTGTTGTGTGCAAATTATAATGATTTGTACACATTAATCTCTAACTTTTATAGCCTTCCAAAACTACAATTTTTAATTCTAACCCACTTAGTAGAAATGTAAACAAGCAATTTGGCAGCAAGCCAGTAGATAATTTCCTCGTTCTCTTTTCTATTTTTCCTATCGCGCCTTCTAAATCTTAATCCAACAGCCACGTGCCTGGTTTAATACGGGCCACTTGTATGTACTATAACTTTCATGTTTTTGATTCGATTTCAATTTTTCTTTTTGTTCTTTTTATAGCAAAACTTTAACTTTCAATTTTTATAAACAGAATTTTAAAAAAATTAACTTCTTATTTTTAAGCGAATTTTTCGCTTAACTCCTCTCATCAGGTTCTGCACACCCTCCTTGGTGACCTTGCCGGCTGCACGCATCCAGTTTTTTTCATTTCTTTGTTATTTTGGGAGAGACTACCATTTTTTATTAAATTTCGCTTAACGATGGCCCAATATCTCTCAATGGGTCGCAGCTCTGGGCAATTTGGTGGGTTCTCCTCTTTTGAAACAAACTTGATGTTCTCCGCCTCAAGGAGCGCCAATGTTGACCGGACATAGTGCGCTGACGCTAAGTCTGGCCAAAATATTGTCGACACGTTGTGCTTTCTATAAAACGGTATTAAACGTTTTTTAATGCACTCTTTTTGGTAAACCTCTGCGTTTATTGTGCCATTTGTGAAAAATGGGCTGGTTTTTAGGCCACATGTGCAAATTGCCTGCCATATCAGGACTTTCTCCCCAAATTTGTCCATTTCTATTTTGGTGTCCGAGTCGCTAATTGTTTCACCTTTGGCTTTTGTGTAAAATTGGGGGCCTGGTAATGTTTTTGAGTCCAATTTTACATATGTTTCGCCGTCCATTACGACGCATTCCACTGCATCAGTGAGCAAGCGATCATAAAGCTTGCGTACTCTCGTTTTGCCGACTTCTCGTTGGCGCAAACTTTTTTTTGGCACTTTTTGTTTTTTATAAGTCTTTAGGCCATGCCGTTGTTTTATGCGCTGCACCATACTTACACTCGTTCGCGCTTTTTTGGCCAAATCTCGAACTAACGTCGTGGGATTTTTCTCAATTAAAGCTAGCACCTTCTTATCGACGCTGGCATCCCTTGGACCTTTTTTTCTGCCAGTTTTTGGCAAATCTTTTAGAGAACATGTCTTCCCAAATTTGATAATAATATTCTTAACACTATTAACGCTTACTTTATAGCGTTTGGCTAAGTTTCGGTACGAAACACCGTTTTCTGTGCAGTAATTGTGCACAATTTTTTGACGGACGTGTTCTTCAATACGAGGCATTGCGAAATGTGCAAAACAAATAGTGAAAAGAGAACATGCAAACAACGCAGAATTAATAGAGCTTTCTAACGGTGCACCGCATGGCATGATCGAAACCTCCCACTGAGAGATTTTCACAATTGAAAGTGTGCAGTTTCTTTTCGGTACATTCCTTATAAATGTAAAATGTAAACAATAAGGGTCCCAAATGGCTTCCTTGCGGGACGCCAGATGTAACCCTTAGAACATTGGATAAATTATTCTTAAAGAGGACCTTTTGCGTCCTGCCATTCAAATAACTTGAGATCCAATTAAGAAGATCACTTGGAAAACCCATTGAATCGAGTTTTCTAACGAGAAGAGAATGGTTAACAGAGTCAAATGCTTTACTGAAATCAGTATAGATTACATCTGTCTGACAATTATTATGGAAGCCCTTTATAATATAGAAAGAGAGCTCCAAAAGATTTGTTGTTGTTGATCTTCGCTTCATAAAACCATGTTGACATGGAGAAATAACCGATCTACAAAGGTGCTGTAAGTGAGGGGTGATAATGTTTTCAAATAATTTAGGGATGGCCGACAACTTAGAGATTCCTCTATAATTGCTGGCATCCAATTTACTACCTTTTTTGTGAAGAGGAATAATAAACGATTCCTTCCAAATAATGGGAAAGTGGGAGGTTTTCAAGAACAAGGTAAACAATTTCAGAAGGCGATAGCACAGGGCGTCGGCACAATACCTGAGCACACAGCCAGGAATTCCGTCGGGACCTGGCGAATAAACTGGCTTGACACGATGAAGATCTAAAAGGAGAGAGCTTTCGTTTAGGCTAGGACAGAAAATTAAGTTTGATTTGGGTATGTCGTAGGAATAGGTCTGGTGTAGATACGAAGAGCTAGAATAGGTTTTTGAAAAACTGCGAAAATAGGTCGGCTATTGCCTGACCATTATTTGCATTAGTATTTTCAAATGAAAGCGAGGAAGGATTTGTTTTAGGCTTACGTTTAGTGTTAACGAAATTATAAAACTGTTTTGGGTCCTGTGAGGCCCTACAACGAGTTAAATAGTTTTTATAACACTGCGCGTTCAGCACGGTAAAGTTTGACCGAGCTGATAAATAAAATGAAAGGGCAGATTGAGAACCGGTGATTTTAAATTTAGCATACAGTCTAGATTTTTTATTTTTAAGTCGGCTCAACTCTTTAGTAAACCACGGCGGTTTATTCGAGCTTGGCGGATAATATAACGGAACACATTCAGTAAAAAATGAATTCATGGCACTGTAAAAAATATCCACGACATCAGCCATGTCAGTGCACATGTATAGATCAGACCAATTGAACTCGTTTATAAAATTATTCAGCCGTTCAAAGTCCGTTTTGCGAAAACATAGGACTTCATTGGCTGGACGGTCAGAAATATTCTGTACGTCACACCCAATATCAAGAGTCACATCGAAAGTTGGATGATAAGGATCTTCGGGCTGCGTCAGAGGCGCCACCCTTGCTAAACTGACTCTCGCAGGATTAGAGACGAAGCAAAGATCATGCAAGCGCTGTAAGGAATTTCGCACATGGTTGACTTGAGACAGCGAAATGTCAAACAAGCCATCGATAAAGTCATGTTGTGTAGGTGTATTGAGAGTATTGGTGGAATTATTTGAGCACCAAATAGCACCAGGAATTCAACATCGTTGCATTCCTCGAAGGTTAATAATTCTGACGTGAGTGAGGAGTCCACCGCTATAAGAACTCCACCCCCGCGTCTGATAGGGCGATCTAGCCGATATACCGTGAACACAGCTGGTAAAACTTCGGAGCTCAGAATCTCCGGCTTTAACCAGGTTTCTGTGAGCACAATAACCTGAGATGCAAACGAAAGACTATCAGAATACAAGTTAGGAAGCTTACTACGTAAGCCTCTTGCATTCTGATAGGAAATACCTAAGGAGTAGGTTAGGTTTGTGGGTCGGGATTGGAAGACGTAGAAGGCGCAGTGGTAACATCAGGCCTGGGAAGAGTTATTCCTACAGGCCGCCTTTTCTTTTTCTTCGCCTCGAACTCCTTAACAACTATGTACTCTGGCCAGAAGTTGGGAGAGCAAATAGTGTTAAAGAGCTCGTTAGGGACATTTATTTTGAAAGATGAAATGTCCCTTGCGTAAGAAAATTTGAACTTTTC